TTCCTTCTCCAGCTCATTTTTACAGATGAGGAAACGGAGGCAACCAGGATTAAGTGACTTGTCCAGGGTCACACAGCTAGTAAGTGTCTGAGGCTGGATTTGAACTCAGGAAGATGAGTCTTTCTGACTCCAAGCCTAGAGCCCTATCCACTGCATCACCCAGTTGCTGTTTACAGTTGTCCTGTTTAAATGCAGCCACAACCAAGAATCTGCCCACCCCTTCCAGAGCCTCCTGAATTATTATATTAGCTTCAACTCCATTCCAGAGCCTGAAGTGCTGGTGGCAACACTTTGATTTCTCAGGATTTTTGAACAGGCTTTTCGGGCTGTTAGGGAATGTGACCTTCTTTATGAGCTCTGTCTTATGATTTTCCTCTAACTGCAGAATTTACACCATGACAATGATCCTCAAGGTGGGTGAGGACTAGAAATAGTAGAAGGAAGTAGATTGCTCCAGCTCTATTGCATCACTAAAAACTCATGGGTCTTTCTCAATAAGAGACCAGCCTAGGGGGTGGCTAGGTGGCACAGTAGGTAGAGCTCTGGCCTTGGAGTCAGGAGAACCTAGGTTCAAATCCAGCCTCAGACACATAACACTTACTAGCTGTGTGACTATGGGCAAGTCACTTAACCCCATTGCCTAGCCAAGCAAACAAAAAAAAGAGATCAGCCTGTGAGGCTAGATCTTCGAATACTTATTTATTTATTTTTAAAAAGTGGACGAGCTGACTGCTGGGGACTCTGTGTGTGTGTGTGTGTGTGTGTGTGTGTGTGTGTGTGGTGGGTCTTGGGCCTCAAGTCCTCAGCTACTTCTCCTTTTCTCTTGAATGAGGGCAAATCCAGATATGAGATGCTTCAGGCTTATTCTGTATAAGCAGAACATGATGAATGTACCCTGTTGTTGCCTCCATACTTACATTTGTTTCTCTTTATCTTTCTGCCTTTCTTTGTAAAAAAGCATCCCTAATATACCTGTCATCGTTGTATTGACTGTTAATTCACTTGATTGCATGCTGGCATCCATGCTTTCTATTTTGTTTTCTAAATAGGCAGGTTTTGCTGTACAAAATATTTAATAAAGAAATCATGAGTCTATTCAAGGAGCAGAATAAATAGAATAACTCACATTTCTATAGCACTTTAAGCACTTTCTTCACAACAAGTCTGAGAGCTAGCAATTATCTTATTCCTATGTTACAGATTAAAATAAGGTTCACAGAGATATTTAATGAATTGTCTGGAATCACGTGCTAGTCAATTGTAGATCTGGGACTTGAACCCAGATTTTCTAAGATCAGTCATCTCACTATGACACACCACATTGCCTCTTCTTGGGAGAGATACCTTGGGAGCTGTGCCGTGCTAGTAGGAAGCCAAGCTCCAGAGTTTCTAGGTAAAAGAAAATGGCCTTCTGCCAGGCAGAAAGAAACCAGGCACCAACAAGCCACAGTCAGCATCACACAAGATTAAACAGAAATTACTGTAAAGGAAAGGAAAGTAATGCCATAAAGCAAAAGAAAAAACCTTACTACTAAGAATATCTCATCCTATTCACTGAATATAACCCTACAGAGAAAGAAAAAAACCTTTAATAGAATAAATTACTACCAAACATTCTTGTTGAGAAAACCAGAGGGGCCCCTAGATTGCACAGTGGATAGAGCACTGGCTCTGGAGTCAGGAGGACCTGAGTTTAAATCTGTCCTCAGACACAGATTACTCACTAGCTGTATGATCCTGGGCAAGTCACTTAACCCCATTGTCTCACCAAAGGAAAAAAAAATAAAAATGTGTGAGAAAACCAGAGATGAGAAGAAACTTTCAAATGTGTTGAGAAAAATCTCCAAAGAGCTAAATGACAAAAAAGTGTCTCTTTGGAATTCTGCTGTCTTATAGGGTCAGAAAGGCAGCAAAGAAAGACAAACTCAGGGTGTGGGTGTATCTTTGTTCTGTTCTGTTTTAGAAGAAAAAAGAAAAGGGAGGGTAAGGCAGTCTATTAGGGAAAAAATGCAGAACAAGAGGGAGAAACTTTTTTATAATTGAGCTTCATCAGCAGGAATGGGGGTTGGAGAAGCAGGCATCTTATCAACTGTTTGCACACGGGTATACACACACAGAACATAGTATAGAAATATATTAAAGTGAACAGGGAAAAAGCCAGGGACAGAGAGAGAGGAAAATGGGGTTTAAGACAAACAATGGAGTTATTGAGGAAATGATCGCAAGAAAAACAAATCAGGGCAGCAAGGTGGTTCAGTGATGGAATGCTGGGCCTGGAGTCAGGAAGACTCATTTTTATGAGTTCAAATCTGGCCTCAAGTACTTGTTAGCTGTGTGATCCTGGGCAAGTCACCTTGACTATCTTTGCCTCGGTTCCTCAATCTGTGAAATGAGCTGGAGAAGGAAATGGGAAACCATTGGAGTATGGGGTCACGAAGTCAGACTGAAAAATGACTGAATGACAAGAAAAACAAACTTCAGCAATGAAAGGGAAATTTTTTCTTTTGAGGCAATCAGGGTTAAGTGACTTGCCCAGGGTCACACAGCTAGTGAGTATCAAAAGTATCTGAGGCCAGAGTTGAACTCAGGTCATCCTGACTCTAGGGCCAGTATGCTATCCACTGCACCACCTAGCTACTCCAATGAAAAGCAAATTATAAAGATAGATTAAAAGGAAAGTTGGAAGGATAAGATCCAAGGAGTCTGGTCTGGGTAAAGAGAGAAAGGAAAAAAGTGCAGGATCAGATCATTCCAATTATAGAGTACTATATTCCTTTCTCCTTCTTAGGGATCTATCCTATAGAGTAGAAAAAAAGAAGAGAAAAATCAGCAAAGCTAATTAATACATTGAAAAAAATCTAAAAAATATGTAATATTACATACCTGTGAACCTCCCACTGTTGCAAAGGAGTATGTGTGTGTGTGTGTGTGTGTGTGTGTGTGTGTGTGTGTGTATATGTATTTGGGGGGGTGAGGTATCTTCTCATATTTCTTCTTGGCTTATTTTTTGTAATTTTACATTAATTTTTTATTGTTTTGGCATTTACATTGTTGTAGATGTTGTATATATTGTTTTTTTGGTTCTGTTTACTTTACTTTGCTTCAGTTCATGTAAATCTTTCACTGTCTCTCAGTATTCCTCATTCTTTATTTCTTACAGTACAGTAGTATTCCATTATATTCATGTACCTCAATTTGTTCAGCCATTCTCCAGTCAATGGGCCTCTACTTTGTTTCCAGGTCTTTGTTACCACACAAAGTGTTGCCATAAATATTTTGAGGGAATATGAAAATCCAGAGGGGTCAGAATCGATCATTCTTCCTGGGATGTCCTCCCTGACCTAAACTCAGATAAGCTTTTATAGCAAAGCACTTTGAAGCTATACCCACTGCCATGATTGAAGCGTTGGAGACACTCATAGTTCAGAGAACTTCTATCTATGGAGTTCTCACATCTTGCTATTCTGCCCTCTCCTGCAGCTGTACTTCAGGTTTCTTGGGGGCATTTTTAGAAAATGCCAGGGGTCTTGGGGGTCCACTGAGCATAAGCTATGTAAATCAGGAACTTGTAAAGAATACTTACAGAAATACCATCTCCTCTCCTTCCTTTCTCCCTCCTTTCTGTGAATCCCAACATATTTCTGTGGTTGAGGCCTTAGAAAAAAAATAACTATTTCAAACCAGCAAACCAGCCAAAAAATTGGAATGGTGGAACAAACCTACTCCCTTATGCATAATACCCAGTCAGTGTGCCCAAGGCAGGGCTTCTGAGGACCGTGGTCCAGGTTTTCCTCTGGTTATTCCCCAAATTCATCTGTACAACTTAGAATCTCAGAATGTTAGCACTGGGGATAAACTCAGAATTCATCTAGTCAACCTCATTTTACAGAGGAGGAAACTGAGGTCCAAAGAGGGGAATTGCCAGTGTGGTGTGATGTAAAGAACACTGAACTGAAAGCTGGTCTTACATATGCTCCCTTCTACTTGTTTAATCTTGGGCAAATTCCTTTATCTTCCTGGTTCTTAGTTTACCTATTTGAAAAACAAAGGGGTTGAAGTAGGTGATCTCCAAAATTCCTTCTATCTTCTAATCCTATGATTTCTGTTTGTGGCAGAACTGGGGCTAGAACCCAGGTACCCTGACTCTTAACCTAGGGCTTCTTCTACTGAACTATTTCTTAGTAGCTATGAGACTAGAAGGGGCTTTTCCTGAAGTCTGTGGCTCACAGCTATTGATGATATGCTCTGAATAACTTTGTGAAATTCCCCATCACCAACCTAAAAAGAGATTAGGTACAATAATGTAGAAATCACAGTTCATCCTTAGATATCCCCAGTAAAATGGGGATCATCACATCACAGCTCCTTATTACCCAGCATAGATGGGACATTCCAGGCTAGAGAATCATGCCCCACAAAAGCATGCAAGTGGGAATGAAGATGGTAACTGTGAAGGAGACTAGACTTGTTAGAGAAATAGGCTCATCATGTAAGGGAGGAGCAGGAGATAAGCCTGGAACTGAAAGCCTTGAAAACCAGGCCGAGGAATTTGGACCTGAGGCAGTAGATGGGGTATTTAGATGGGGATGAGGAGACAGTAGGATGGAATCCTGGTCCTGGAGTCAGAGGATGGCAGTTCAAATCCTGCTATGCTTACCTGTAAGTCAACAGCCTCCATGGGGTTTAGTTTCCTTATCTGTAAAATGAAGGATCTAGACTAGATGGCATCTGAGGTCTCTTCCAGTGCTAGATTTATAATCCTATTGGGGAGGAATAATTAATAATACCAATAATCTAGCATTTATGTAGTTCTTTAATATTTGTAAAGTACTTCACATATATAGTTCATTTTATCTTCAAAACAACCCTGAAAGGTAGATCTATTGTTATCCTCATTTTACTGATAAGGAGAGTGGGTGGGATAAAAGTGGTATTTGAGGAAGTTTAATATGATAAAATTGTATAGAAGAATGCTCAGTAACTCTTTCCTATCTACACAGGGTGAAGCAACATGGATGCCATCAGCCAAACCTCCCCAGAAGCAGTGCTGCCTAAGCACATCCTGGATGTCTGGGTCATTGTCCTCATTATCCTAGCCACCATCGTGATCATGACTTCCTTGGTGCTGTGCCCAGCCACCGCTGTCATCATTTACCGAATTCGGACTCATCCCATACTCAGTCAGGCCTTTTGAAGCCTCAGGATGCTGGGGGTGCTAGTCCAGGCTTTTGATGACTGGGCATGGCCCAGAAAACTCCCCCTCTTTAGCAGGGTAATGATGAGAGCCTTTCCATTAAGGAAAATGGTTTGAAGCTACCAAACAGAACTAGATCGTGTCCGTGAAAATGCCTTTTATGATGCATATATCCATCAGCAGCCATCAACAGTGATGGAGGAAGGAAGCTTTTCTGGTAGGGCTGCTCCTGTCAAGCAGATAGGGTCCAGTTTCAAGATGTACACGATATAAGATGGAGTCTCCAGGGGCTGGAACTTCTGGGAATCAGAGATGCTCCAAGAGACATCAACAGGGACAGGGATGACCTAGGAGTTACTTCTTCCCTATTCCTACAATCCTTTAAAAGTTCCTCCCATCACTAACAAAGCTCTCCCTGTTCTGGGGAATCCCCTGTCAAGTTTTCTATCATGTTAAATTCCTGGTAGGACCTTGTTCTTTGCTAGTTGCAAGTTAGCTAAAGTGCTAGCTCATTGTAGTTTAAAGTCCCTTTCCTTTTCAGGACATTTACATTTTAATAAAATACTGTATTCAAGTGAGAAATTACTATTGTCAGTCAATAAGCATTTATTAAGTACCTACTATGGGCCAGGCATTGTGCTAAGCACTGGAGATATATACAAAAAAAGGGGGGGGGAAAGGGCTTTCTACTCTCAGAGAGCTCATAGATCTCAGGCACTGTGATAGTCTCCCAAGGTACTATTAAAGGGATTATATTTGGGGAGGGAGTCTTTCAGAGGTCTGGTCCTGTCCTACAGCCTACATATCTCTTGTACTTTTATGATATGGCATCTTTAGCTGGAATAAGGTAAAGAGTTTAACTGGGGCAGGGAAGGTTGAATGTAGTATTTCCTAAGTTCTTGCTTCTGCTACCATATAGGATCTGAAAACCAGAGCTACTTGGGTAGAGATTCTGTGATCCTGCTGGGCACACAGAAATCCCCTGCTTCTCCAAAGAGAGCTAAGGCTGGGCTTAGGATGAGCACTATTGCCTTATTCCATATCTGCCCATGATTATATATGTGTCCTCCAGGGTTGCTGGTCCTATTTTTTTTTTCCTTTGGATCAGATATCTGATTTCATTGGCACTGACTTTGCCACTAGTGAGCTGTGTGGTCTTAGCTAGGCAGGAAATTGATATCCCAAAGAGATTAAGTGATTTTTCCAATATCACACAGCCAGTTATTCATAACAGAATTAGGGATAGAGTCAAGGTCAAAAATGTCTTAGTGGAGTGGTCTTTCCACATTTTAGAATCAATGCAAAATGAGGACAATTGTGATCCACATTTTATGGCACTTTAAGGTTAACAAAGGTCTTTTCTTGTAACAGACCTTTGAAGGGTAGTGCAAATATCATCATTTCCATTTTAAAGATGGGAAAGCTGAGATTCAAAGACCACAGAGCTAACAAGTGGAGGACTTCCCTCCCCAGATTCCATACTCTTTCCTCTATAGATTGCTGTCCTGCTTACTTCCTAAGGCTGTGATTCCGGTACTATGAGAAGAGAGGGAATGTGGCATGTAGCAAGGTGGCCTTCAAGTCTGAAAGTCCTGTTTCTTACATATATTGGCTGTGTGATCATAGGGAAGTCATTTAACCTCTCGGTCTTCAGGAAACTCTCTAAGACTAAAAGTTGCAGATCATTTGTTGATCTGCACTGGTGGAGGAAGTTACTTTATTGGGAATTCCCCATAACAATGAAATCACTGGTTCTGTTTTAAAAAAAAGGAATTCTACAGTGATTCTATGATCACATCTATCCAAATGTTCTCTCCAAAGATACAGCTTTCCACCATCCATGCCTGCCCATCTTAGGAGACTCTTTTCCACATCTTCTCGTGTGAGACTAAAAGAGGTTGAAAGCTTTATAAGAGCCCTTGTGTCAGTGAAATAGGAAGTTTTATGTCAATTATTCAGCATATCTCCCTTTACTTGTGTATATACTTGTGGTTGATTCACTGGTTGCCCAAGGCTCCAATTTATTCTCCCTTCCCTGCAGGATCCAGAATTTTTTCAACCCCCTCCTCTTGTTCCTCACCCATCACAAGAGACCTGTCCCATGACATTTCCCCCCAGGATCTAGTCTCTGCTTAAGTGAGTGGGTATGTTATCTTTCTGAAATAAGAGATTTAGTTTTCAAGAGAAAGCTAGCTTACCCTGGTGACTCTAATGGGGGCATGTTAGACACTGTGTTCAGTGACAGCAGGGGAAATATTTCTGGACAGATAGAGCCTGTATTACCAAGTATGGGAAATTCCTAGGAAGACTGCACAAAGATCTAGTAGGAAAAGAATGCTTTTATTTAGTATGTGTTTGTGTTTTCCTGATGGACTCTTAATTGCCATTAAAAATAACAGGATGAGAATATCTGAGGTCTCTCTCTTTTTTTTTTTCCTTTCATCCGTAAATACCTTTGGAACACTACCTCTGTCTTTAGCCCTAGACTCAGTATTGGGAGTCCAAATATGAATGAGATGTAGTATCTACCTTCTTCAGGGGTAGAGAACCTGTGGCCTCAAGGCCACACATGAAGTTTGGATTCAGTCAAAAGGCTGAACTTTAGGACCTAGAGGGCCATGCAGGTTCCCCACCCCTGTTCTAGTTGTTTATAGCAGCTTTTCAAAGCCTCAGTATTTGACATGTCCAACTGCTCTGCTTTGGACAGTTTAGAGCTATGAATGCACAGGAAGGTTTCTTAGCCCTTCCTGTGATTCTTTATACCTGATGCAAGTACATGCTTTCTTTGCTATTGATAGCTTGGATATCTCCCTTAGAAAACCGATACTTCATATCATTTGACTACGGCTCTCACTTTTTTTTTGTGGGTTGCAACATATGTTTATTAGTTTTAAATATATATATGTATAGCTTCATTAAATATTTACCAATTAGATTTTGAAACATTTAAAAAATTTATTTAAAATGATTTTGAGTTCCAAATTCTCCCTCTCCCCTCCACCCTTCCCCCACCCTTTGAGAAGGCAAGCAATATGATACTTATTGATGTGAAGTCATACAAAACATATTTCCATATTTGCTGTGTGGCTAAAGAAAACATACCCATACACAAAAATAAGAAAAATTTAAGAGGTTGGAAGAGGGTGCCTCAATGTGCAGAGTTCATCAGTTCTCTCTCTAGAGGTGGATAGCGTTTTTCATCATGTATCTCTTTGGAATTGTCTTGATCAGAGTAGCTAAGTCTTATACAGTTGATCATTGCTACAATATTGCTGTTACTGTGTACAATATTCTTCTGGTTCTGCTCATTTCACTTTGTATCAGTTCATATAAGACTTCCATTGTTTTTTGAAACTCTCGTGCTTGTAATTTCTTATAGCACAATAGTATTCCATCATAATCATATACTACAACTTGTTCAGCCTTTCCCCAGTTGATGGGCATCCCCTCAAATTCCAATTCTGTGCCACCACAAAAAGAGCTGCTGTAAATGTTTTTGGACAAAAAGATCCTTCTCCTCCCCTCTTTTCTTTGATCTCTTTGGGATAGTAATGGTATTGCTGGATCAAAGGGTATGCACCGTTTTATAGCCCTTTGGGTATAGCTTCAAATTGTTCTTCAGAATGGTATGGCTCTTACTCTGCAGAAAGATTTTTTTTTCTAGTTGCCTGTTTCCTTTCAAATTTTAGCTGCATTGGTTTTGTTTGTTCAAAAACTTTTTAATTTTATGTAATCAAAATTGTGGCTGTGGCTCCAAGAAGCTATAGCATATGTAGCAGCTATCTTGGCAGATGAGCTAAACCAGGTTGAGGGTAGTTGACAGGTCTCAAACCTGTCAGTGAGTTAGGGGAATGTCTACCCCAAGCATATGAAGAGTTCCCCCAGTGGAATGAGTGGATGAGAACAATTTGTTCTAACAGCCTTGAAGGTAACGAAAGCAGGTGCTATGGAATCCTTAGAGCTTGATCAGACATTGAAGATGCCAAGGTCATCCACTGCATCCTGGACCATCACCAATCATCTTGACTTTTGCCCTACCACTGGATTTCAATGACTCTAGAAGAGAGAGTGAGGCTGATGACTTTGTGCAACTCTTGCCTCACTTAAATCCAATTTACATGTAAGTCAAGACATCACCCTGATATCATTAATTCTTTTAGAAAATGAAGGATGTCTACCTAAATTAAATTACTTATTCAGTGCCATACCAATCAAACTACCAAAAATTATTTTATAGAGCTAGAAAAAACAGTAACAAAATTCATCTGGAAGAACAAAAGGTCCAGAATATCAAGGGAATTAATGAAAAGAAATGCAAGGGAAGGTGGCCTACCTGTACGAGATCTTAAATTATATTATAAAGCAGCAATCATCAAAACTACTTGGTAGTGGCTAAGAAATAGAGTGGTGGATCAGGGGATAGGTTAATTTTTTTTTTGTTTTGCTTTCGTTTTTTTCTTTGGGGGGATAGGCAATGGGGTTAAGTGACTTGCCCAGGGTCACACAGCTAGTAAGTGTTGTGTGTCTGAGGCCGGATTTGAACTCAGGTCCTCCTTAATCCAGGGCCAGTGCTCTATCCACTGTGCCACCTAGTTGCCCCAGAATAGGTTAATTTAGTAAGACACAACAGTCAATGACTATAGTAATCTACTGTTTGATAAATCCAAAGACTCCAGCTTTTGGGATAAGAACTCACTATTTAACAGTAAGTTAAAAAGCTGCTGGGAAAACTGGAAAAGAGCATGGCAGGAACTAGGCATAGACCAACGTCTTACACCCTATACCAAGATAAAGTCAAAATGGGTACAGGATTTAGATATAAAGACTGATACTTTTTCCTACATCTTCTCCAACATTTATCATTTTCCTGTTTTGTCATGTTGGCCAATCTGATAGGTGTGATGTGGTACCTCAGAGTTGTTTTGATTTGCATTTCTGTGATCAATAGGGATTTAGAGCATTTTTTCATATGACTATAGATAACATTAGTTTCTTCCTCTGAGAACTGCCTGTTCATATCCTTTGTCCATTTATCAATTGGGAGATGACTTGTATTCTTATAAATTTGATTCAGTTCTCTATATATTTTAGAAATGAGACCTTTATCAGAGACACTGGTCGTAAAAATTCTTTCCCGGTTTTCTGCTTCCCTCCTAATCTTGGATGCATTGGCTTTATTTGTGCAAAAACTTTTCAATTTAATGTAATCAAAATTGTCCATTTTACATAGCATAATGATGAATGTTGGAGAAGATGTGGGAATATTGGAACACTGGTACACTGTTGGTGGAGTTGTGAAATGATCTAACCATTTTGGAGAGCAATCTGGAGCTATGCTCAAAGGGCTATAGAATTGTGCATAGTCTTTGACCCAGCAATACCACTTCTAGGTCTGTATCCCAAAGAGATCATAAAAATGGGAAAAGGACCCACATGTACAAAAATATTCATAGCAGCTCTTTTTGTGGTGGCAAAGAATTGGAAGTTGAGGGGATGCCCATCAATTGGGGAATGGCTGAACAAGTTGTGGTATATGAATGTAATGGAATACTATTGTGCTGTAATGAACAGGTGGACGTCATAAAAACCTGGAAAGACTTATATGAACTGATGCTGAGCGAAATGAGCAGAACTAGGAGAATATAACAGCTATAGTGGGTGATATCTGACCTTGAAAGACTTAACTCTTCTCAGCAATGCAAGGATCTAAGACGACTCCAAAAGACTCATGATGGAAACTGCTATCCACATCTAGAGAAAGAACTTTGGAGTTTGAATGCAGATGAAAGCAAATTATTTGCTCTGCTTTTCTTTTGTTGTTTTGTTTTTTCTTTCTTGTGGTTCTTCCCATTAGTTCTAATTCTTTTTTACATCATGATTAATGTGAAAATATGTTTAATATGAAGGTATAAGTAGAGCTATATCAGATTGCACGCTGTCTTGGGGAGGGGGGAGGTGTGGGTGGGAGAGAAAATTAAACTCAAAATCTTATGGAAGTAAATGTTGAAAACTAAAAATAAATAGATTATTTTTTTTAAATGAAGGATGAAAAACAACAAACATGCAGCTGAATAGTGCCCAGAACATCCCCTAGAGTGGCCTAAACCAGGTTTAAATGTAACTGAGAGATACCTAAGAAAACAAATAAAAATAAAATAAAACATAGGTAACATTACATTTTAAAATTAAGTCAATGTGGTGCCTGCAGAGACCCTTATGTATGGTATTTGAATTTCATACCACTGCCTTACAGTATATTTAGAAAACTAGTCCATTCACAGCCAGTCATGCCTTTCTGTAAGCTAGCTTTGATTGGCCCTGCCCAAATACAGAGAAGTATCTTAGACCTTGAAAGCCATTATTGACTCTTTTGTATTAATCCAATAAACCAACCCTTTCCGCCTCATAGTACATAGTAGGAAGTGCCTTCCTTGCCTCTGACACAACATAAATTTAGTTCAACGTTAACTAAGTGACTGCCGTAGGTCAGGCACTGGGCTCGGTCCTGGGAATGCAAAGATTAAAAACTAACATGGTCCTTGCCCTGAAGGAGTTTATTAGTATTGGGGATATGACGTGCACACAAATAAATAGGATTAATGAGACAATGTGTAAACTTGGGTAAGGAGAGATTACTTTCAGGTGAAGGGGAGTAGGGCTGGGAAATTAAGGAAAGTTTCCTGAAAGAAGTAGCACCTGAATGGACCCTGAAGGAAAAGAAGACTGAAGATGTGCACCAATAAGTATGATGAAAGGTGGGTTGTGATAGGAGGGAAGAAAAACTGGGGGAAATGCCTTCAAAGAGGTGGGGTGGAGAGACAGAGACAGAGCCACAGAGAGAGACAGGGAGACAGAGAGAGACAGAGACAGAGAGACAGACAGAGTGACTAAGACAGAGGTGGGAGGATTGTGAGTGTTGGTAGTCTTAGAGAATAATCGTATTAACTGACATTTTTATAGTACTTCAAAGTTGGCAAAATATTATCTCATGGAGCCTCATTACAACCTTTTGACGTAGGTACTATAGATCTTATTGCTCCAGTTTTCCAAATGAGGAAACAGAGGTGCCCTAGAGGTTAAGTGCTTGCCTGTATGGTCACTGCTAGTAAGTATCAGGAGAGAAGGCTTCAAGCATATAGCCTACAATGCCTTGAAAGAAATTTGGCATTTTAAAAAAATTCTCTTTAATGCCTCCTATAATATATCTGATTTGGTCCAGTCGGGGTGGGCCAGTGCGAAGATTGATCCTGATCTCTGTAAATAAGCTGGTTTCCCTTTATGCACCTTAACTGAAAAGTATGTCTGTAACAGGCTTGCAACATCATTTACCAGGCAGGAAGCAGTTAAATTTTCTTAGACTCTGGGGCCCCACTGGCTTTTCAGGCTAGAGTTAAGCTCACTTACTTTTC